TTTTTTTAATTCTAGCATTTTTAAAAAAAAACTAACCTTGTTTCTTGTAATCCAATCTTGTTTTTTTATAATTGAATTTTGTTTTTTTAATTCTAACATTGTTTTTTAATAACTAACCTTGTTTTTTGTAATATAACCTCTTTTTTTAAAGTGATTAGTGTTGTTAAATGGCTCGTTTTGAGTCAATTTTTAAAAACGGCTAATTCAATATTTTATCCAGAAAAATATTACGCAAGCCTGAAGATTTTGCTCATAGAAGGAACAAAAGTATAGACATATATTATCGAAATCTTCTAGGGTAAACAATATTTTTTTGGCTAAAATATTGAGTTAGCCATTTTAAAAAATTAATATAACTACTAAAGATATTCCCACATTAGCTCATTAAATTATATTTGCCGCTAACTTGATTGCTTTTGAAACACCTAATGGAGGCATCCGCCCAATTGCAATTGGTTCATTTTTCAGACGCCTGATAGCTAAAATTATTGCAAAAAAAATCCGATACTCATTCCCTGCTTGGCAAATACCAATTAGGATGCGGAACTTAAGGAGGCGTAGATATAGCCTCTTACAGCCTACGAATCTACTTTCAACATCCACCGCTTAACTCCGTTTTATGCAAAATCGATTTTAAAAATGCCTTCAATACAATTTCACGTTCCTCGGTACTCGAATCTTTTTACGATAATTTCCCCCAATACTCGCACTTCGTAGACATCTGCTATAACAATAGCACTCCCCTCATTTTTAATGGTAACGTTATATATTCCGAAGAGGGAGTACAACAGGGCGACCCCCTCGGCCCTATTCTTTTCTGCTTAGCTATCCACAATATGATGAAAGATCTTAAATTTGATTTTGATCTAGACTTTAACCTATGGTACCTAGATGATGGCACCCTTTGCGGTAATCCACATAAAATTAGCAAAGCCCTTAATCACCTCGAAAGAGAATGCTCTAAAATTGGTTTAGAATTAAACAAAACTAAAACTGAAATATGCCTCCTCAACCTTGAGATTCTCTTAGATTTATTTAAATGTTACACTATTATCGAAAAAGAAGAGATCCAACTCTTGGGCTCCCCATTACATAATAATATATCCAAAAAAATAATCGATAATACCTTTTCTGAGATGCAAAACTTGGAAAAGTTTATCAACCACATTCCATCGTACCAGCTTTTTTACTTATTAAAAAAGTGTTTATATCTTCCTAAAATCTCGCATCTCTTCCACTCATCCTCCTCATTCACCTTAAAATTTATCACACAATACAATATTCGCTTAAAGACCTTTATAGAAAGGATTCTCAGCCTTTCATTAAATTACCCGCTAAACTAGGTGGTATCGACTTGATCCCCTTAGAACTACTTTCCCTATCTCTATTTATCTCAAATCCCCTATCGCTCAATTCTGCGATCTCATCATTCATAACTCCCAATGATGATCTTCTAGCAGCAGCAATTGAAAGATGGAATCTACTTTCCCCAAGCGGTTATACATTTCCAACCGAAATCTCTACGAATCTATCATCGTACCCCTAATAAAGAAATTATAAAATAGTCTAGTCTTAACTCTACCGATATTAGCGATATACAACTATTACAATTCAACGATAAATACGGCGGGCATGAATGGCTCGAAGCTCTTCCAAGCCAAACCTTAGATAATCTCTTAACCAATGACCAACTAGAGTTATTATAGGTTATAGACTTGGATGTTCGCTGACACGGTCACACACTTGCCACCAATGCAGCTTACCTGTTCAACGCCAGACACGGCCTAAACTGCACCCGCAGCCAAGATCGCCATCTCCACCATAAAGCAATTAATAAAATCATCCATAACGCGCTTTATAAGGCTAAAATACCCAACATCCTTGAACCAACCAACTTCTCATTACAGAACGGCCTCAGACCCGACAGTTTAACCTGCACTCCCTGGTACAATGGGAAATCCCTTATCTGGGACGCAACCTGCCTCTCCTCCTTTTCTTCATCAATTAATTCAAACCCTCTTACTTGTGGGGAAAATAAAAAATTAATAAATATTCAAAATTAAATAACTTTATATTTTAGCTAATAGTCATATCAACTAACGGGAATTTTTCACAGTCTACATATTTTTTAAAAAAACTTAAAATTTTTAACATAAACGAAATTCGCGCATCCTTATTTCTTAAACAAAAACTTTCAACTAGAAATTTTTAAACACAATTATACTTGTTTTTTAGGTACATATTCATTATTAAATTAAGCTCTTTTTAGAGCCTTCGATACTTATAATATATATATTTATTTTTATTTAGTAATTTTACATATTTTTATATACTTGTTTTAATATTTTAGTGTTTTAAAAAATAACAACACTAACTTTGATAATAAACATTAATTTTTTAATATAGTTGTTTTTTTTCAAAATAAATAGTTTTTTAAAATCGAACCTTGTTTTATTAATTCTGAAATTGTTTTTTTAAACTATCCTTGTTTTTTTAAAACTATCCTTGTTTTATTAAATTCTAACCTTGTTTTTTGTAATATACTCGTTTTTTTAAAACTAAGATTGTTTTTTCTTTAGATATAGTTTTTTTTTATAAATACACAATTTTTTAAAATCACCTTTCTTATAATATAATAAATTGTGACAACGATGCTTTATTATTATATATTTTGTAAATATGCACAAGGGTAAAATATATAATCAATTTATGTAAATATTACAATAAACGACAATATATACAAAACCATAAGTTTTTTCGGTGTTTTTTACAATATTTTGATAGCGGAAATGTATAAACATATCACATATTTTTGATAAATCATCTTTTATAAAATTATGTCGCATTTTTGGCAGAGCCATGCTTCCGCTAAAATACTATTATATAGATCATTTAGTTTTCTCCATGCTTCCATTGTAACGTGCGATACAAGACTAATATACATTAGAGATCAAATCCCGGTCGAGCCCGGCCCGTCTCGTATGGATTTCGGGTCGGGCCAGGTCTATTTAAAAAAAATAATTTCGGTTCATGCTGGGTTGGGCCTAACATTTTTAAAAAATTTCGGGCCGAGTCGGGTTTAAATTTTTAAATGATATTACATTTTGTCAAATAAATTGAGATATTTTTAATTATTGCAAGAAACAAGAAGGTAAATAAAAAAAATACATTCTTAATTTAATTTTGCTGGTTATTAAGAAATTGATAAATTTCTTCTGAGAATTAGGTTGTTCTAATATTAAATATCGAAAGTTATAAAAAAAATTTATATGAAAGATAGTACTTTCTTCTATCTTAATATTTTTTACAGAGATTATTATTTTTTCTTCCTTTTTTTCTGGATGATCCTATAACTGTTAGATCCGATTCCTTACGCCATATTTTTTTTTATATTTACCTTGTTTTAATTTAGCAAATCGAATTTTGCATGCATCCAGACAAAATATAGCAAGCCTAAATTTTTTTAAACACTATATTTTTTTTTATCAGAAAATAAACCAAGGTTTACTCAGAACTTAATTTAGAATAAACTATTTGAATTTTCGCAAAATTATCAAAAATTAATGCAAAAGAAAATATAATAACTGATAATTGTCAATGAAAATATCCTTACAACTACATCTAAGGACATGAGATGTCTTAAAAATGATGATGCCGATTTAGTCTCCTTGTTTACATATTACAACGGAAGCATGGAGAAAACTAATGATTTATATAATAGTTCTTTAGTGGAACTGGCTCAAATTGGTACCATTTCCAATGCCAAAATATTGTCAACCCCCCCCCCCCTCTTATTTATGGTTTTGTATATATTGTTTATTATAATATTTGCATAAATTAATTATATATTTTGCTTTTGCACATATTTATAAATTATCTATTAATAAATCTTATTCATGTTTGTCACAATTTATTATATTATAAAATTTGATTTATGTCATCAAAAATAAAAATGATTGGGGATTGCAAGGTTTAATAAAGTAAGTATTTTTGCAATTAGCCCTTATTGAGATAAATAAAATAGTTCTATTAAAAAATTTAAATATCACAATAATGTTATTTTATATATATTCTGAACACTAGGAGGTAATGATATTTGTTTTAAAAAATAATTTTGAAAACAGTCGTTCTTTAGGAAAAACAATTTTTATTTTTAAAAAACTGTCTATTTTGATAATTAAGAATTTTTTTAAAAATGTATCAAAAAAAACAAGGTTATATTACAAAAAATTAGATTATTTTTAAAAAAACAATGTTAGAATTAAAAGAACTGTTTATTTAAAAAAAAAAACCATATTTATGAGAAACAATGTTAGTTTTTTAAAAGACGTGTATATGATAAAACAAGGTTAGTTTTAAAAAAATAATCTTTTAATTTAAAACAAGGTTCGATTTAAAAATCTGTTCTATATTTGAAAGAAACAACTTGAAAAAAAACAATATATTTTAAAGCATATAGTATTTTTTAATTTTTCACTGAGGCACGTAACCTCAAATAAACTTTTCTACTTACCCCATAACCCCCATAATGGGGTTTACCCCCTAAACAGGGGCACGTAACCTCTGCCTTTTAAAATATGGCGAATAATATGAAAAGATAATAAAATGAATATTTAATAAACACTTTGGATAACGTGATCTATCACTAATCTAATACCAAAGAATTGGGTATATAGCTTTACAAAGAATATTTAAGTAAATAATCATTTTAATTATAAATTTCACAGTCAGCCAAATATGTTAAAATAAAGTAAAATTTATTTTTAAAAAATTGAATTTAATTAAGTAATGCTGTTAAATAAATCACCTAATTTGCCAACTCCAAAATGGCAGTGAAGTTTTTATATTGAAAAATTGATATAAATCTGTAATTTGAGGCTCAACTTAAAGGTTTATTAAAGTCACCAGGCTAAAAGCTTAGCTAAGCCATATTGTATTGGCCAAAGTTAGATGATCTGACAACACTATATTTAAGTTTAATTTATTTTTATAATATTTAGACCTCCGCCTTTATGTGGTGCACTACCTCCACTTTCCAATTACATATCGCTGCCTGGGGAGAAAGTGGCTGCATATATCATGGGCCTTAAACCACTTAGGAAATCATTTAATAACGATTATATTGATCCTGAAAATGGATCTATCAAACATAATTCTATAAAAATTATTAGCACTAATGATATGAATAGTATATGTGGAAATAGCAATTTTTCAACTGAAAGCTATTTTCACAAAAGAGTCATTAGCTCTAAATCGATTAGTGAGTAATTGAAATATTTTATTATTAGGACTATACAATAATATAATTTATGAATGGAATATAAATTGCAAAAAAATCAATGATTTAAGGAAATAAAATAAAATGATTTAATTTTCAATTTTATTACTTGAAATTAAATTTTTTAATGCCCATTCATTCCATCAGATATTTTCATTCATAGATACAAAACCTATCAAATTAGCTCTCAGGCGTTTAACCAATACATTTGCTACGCCTCAAAATCAAGGAACACACACCAGAAGGATCAAATTAAATCGGTTATAACTTTTTTATTTTTACTTTCTTTTTTAAAAATAAGTTTTGATTATTGTTTACTATATAAGACATATTACATCATTACCATGTAACCTTTCTTTGTTAAAAGTTTATTTATCACAAATGCATTACCATGAATAAATATTTTCATTAATATATTACAGACAATCAGGCCCAGAAAATGATTGTTACACTACCGTGGTTTAAAAATCAAAATTTAAACAATAGGTCAGATTCAGAAAAGTCCATACCTAATACAAACTATTAGTCTCATAACTCTTATATTTTTATTTCTAGAGATATCTAACTCAGGAGTGAAAATAGGAAATGTGACCTAATTTAAGACACACCTTTACATAAATTTAATTGTTAAATTTCTCTTTTTGCACAAAGATATTTATATTTTAAAAATTTAATCATTCTAAACTATATAAAGTACCGAACCTTTCAAGTTGCAAAGAAATGCTGCTAAAATAGCTAGGCTCAACATTAGCAAACATTCACATCACACTAATGTGTCCCAATCTAATATTCACAAATATAGTGCTTTTATGAACGATGAATGCAATAATGAAGTTATCACGAATTCTGAATTGCTCTGTGATTGGTCCGGTGATGTTAAAAGTAAAAAAAAATTTTAACACCTAGATACATAATTAGATTTTTTTAGATACGAAGATTATATAGTATCGTCTACTATTAATAAGAAATAAATAAACTTATCCATATTATAAAATAGAAATTTTTATATAATCTAATTTTATGTTTCCTCTGAAGTGAAATACAAAAATATATAAATGTGTAAAATATCCAAATACTTTATTTAGCATGCATTTAAATGCCTAGAATAAACTTATCTGGACAATGTCTGGTATATCGACTAGGTGGCTATTGTTAGCCTGTAAAATGACTAATATAAGATTAATTATGCCACTGGCAGCCGCTAATCACGTGCCTTTTTATAGAAGCAAATTTGATTAGGAAAAATGTATTGTTTTTAAATATTTTAAAAGATGATTGAACAATTTTTAACCCTAAATCTATAAATTGATAATTGTCACAAGATGAAATAATGGGTTAGAGGAGGAGGAGTGAATATTGGCCTCCTCATTCGGTTCACATAATTTTGGAAGGGATCAATGGCGGTCGATATTATGAGGGTATCAGAAACAAGGGAAACCGTTTTCATTAACACTTTCAGGCAGGATAATATGAATAGGAAACCAATTACAAAATATCAAATTTTAACTTAATTCTAAGATCTTCTTTATTAAAACCTCTGAAATAAAATTAAAATTATTTTTAATTATTCCAATTTACTACACAAGTTTTATATATTTATATTTGAAACCGGAGTTATCAAATATGACATTTATTATTTTTAAATTTACCAATGTTAAAATTGAAAAAAGATACGATTTTATGTTTTCAAAGCTTTAAAATGATTAATTTTGATTATTATAACAGATTTAATAAGATGGATGTGTAACAATCCAATGTTCCCCTTCATCTATTCCGATTTAAAAAAAAATTATGTCTCCTGATATGTCTGGGAAAGATGCTATCCATATGATATTTTTAATATTATTTAAAAATTTAAAGTATATTTTATTTATATAGATAAAGGTAAAACTTTTTATTATACAAAAAGAAGAAAAAAATTTAACAACACGCTTTTTTCGCCATGAAAAGAGTTAAATAATTTTAAAAAATAATTGCCACATAAAAAGATTAAATTCTTTTATGTCAAATGAGCAAGAAAATTTTGGTTTCAATTTCGGTAAAAATTTGTAAGCACGTTTATGTTCTGGTTATATTAAAAACCAAATTTTATCTGAGATAATGGGGATTAAGGGTACAAAAATCGGGTTTTGACGTTATACTCATGTTAAATTATTAGTATTAATTTAGCGAAATCAGTTCGAATATTGAATCTAATATGAATAACTAAGTCAATAGTTGATAATTTTGGGGAAACATCAAATTAAATTTTTTTAAATATTGGTCATCTTATGTCCATTTGAAAACTTAAAATTAATATTTCATATATTATGAGAGCTCCAAATTTTTATTTACTATTTTTTTACTACTTTTCTAAGGATTTCTTCAATAGTTAGTGCGGCTGGGTAATTATAAAATCGCCAATAATAAAAAAAACGTATTGATGACCCTTTATATAAACATTTTAATACAATAAAAGGCTTTTTTATCATTTGAACATTTTAATGCTAAAAGGCCTTTTTATCCTTTGAACATTTTAATGCTAAAAGGCTTTTTTATCATTTGAACATTTTAATGCTAAAAGGCCTTTTTATCCTTTGAACATTTTAATGCTAAAAGGCTTTTTTTATCTTTTAAAATCATTTTAAGGCATCATAATTGATTTTAGATCATGCATATTGTAGAAAATTTGCTGTTAACGCTCCTTTTAAAAAACTTCTCAAAAGGAGCTAACTCCCGCTCCCGCTACTAAATTTTTAAAAGGAGTTAGCTCCCGCTCCAAGTAATGGAGTGTCACTTCATAGCTGCTCCTTTGATTTTCATTTTTTTAGAAAGTACATGAAAGAAAATATATTTTTTTAATCAAAAATGTTTTATTTATATTAAATGATTTATCAATATTTATAATCTTTTATTTGCTTTTAAAGTAATAAATTTTCTAAATTTGAAAATAACAAAAAATCCACGTCTCTCCCCTAAAACCTGTTTAGCAATACTAAACAGGCGCTCAACTGGAGCACTAGAGGTAGGCGTGGTATTATATTTTATAAAATATTTTTTAAAATCAGGAAATTTATCAAAAATAGTAATTTTGATATCATTATTTAAAAAATATTTGTCCAATATATGATCTTCCTGATGATTAATTTCATGGAATCCAAAAAAAATCTTCCAAATCATTACAGGGTTTCCGTGAACTAGTAGCTATTTTCGTATCAGGAATTTGTTTTCTTAAAAAATTAATTAATTTGTATTTTAGTTTCATATTTTGTGCATTTTTTATCCATTCCTAATTTAATATGAATGCAGGATGGATTTTCATCATAAACATTTGAAAATCTGCAATAAAGTTATTTAAATAGATAATTTATTTTTTATTTCGAGTTCTTCTTCTATGATGTCTGAATCCATAATATCAAAAACTATTTTTCATCATATATTTATAAAATGAAAATTAATATGACTTACAAGATTTTCCAAGAAATTTTCAATATAAAAAGAAAGAAAATCTTTTAATATTTTAACTAATTAGATGAAAAACCAAAATAAAACTCGGCTCTACATTTAATATTGCATAAATTTAAATAAAATAAAATTTCATTTTTATTGAATTTTAATTAACAAATAAATATATTAATATTTAAAAAATAATTTAATTTATACATGAAAGAGCGGCGAAGCGGCGCTCCTTTACTCCAGCCCTAAAAGGATCTAGTTCCCGCTCCTGATTTTTCTTAATTCTTAAAATTTGAATTGCAGGAATTATTGATAAAGTAAGGGTTTATTATATTAAATGGTATATCTATATATTTAGGGCATGGGATGATGCAATTAATGAAAAAATTTTTTATTTCTAAGGTTGAAATGAATGAGTAATTATAACTGTTGAGATTATCACAACTAGTACAAAGTGGCAATCAATTTGTAGATAAAATGAGGCCTATTATGAGGGAAAATCAATGTGAAAATTAGTAAAATTTAATCTAAAAGTATTTATGTTTTATCCAGGTTTAAATACTTTAGGCAATTAAAATCACAGGGTTGGCAAGGTCGGTCAATTGACCGAAGGAGTATTTGATCTAGTTAAATACGGTTAAATACTCTAAAATTATTGGTGAATAAATAATTAACAAATATGTATTTAAAGCAAGCTTATCAATCCAATTAGGGCATCGATTTAATTATTATTTTATAAAATATATTTGAAATATAAAACAAAAAGAATTTTTCTCATTATTAATTTGATTGGATCTCATTATATAAATAAATATAATCATTTTCATGGTTTGAGAAAATTACTAATTGTCAATTATTATGTACAATTATCCAAACAAAATGGACATCGTCAATAAAATGCAAGGAGCAAATACAAATATGAAAGAAAGCTCTGAAAGTAGCTGTTAAAAAAGTTGGATATTTGTCCGAAAGAAATTATCAATAATATATTAAATCAAGATATATCTTGGATGAAAAATTTAAACTATTCTTTAACATTTAACAATCTTGTTGTAGGTGCAAAGAGATAAATGTACTTTAACCCACGTAAAAAACGAATGCTTAATTTGGAAAACACATAATAATCATGGCATAATTTTATAAATTCTCCAAAGAAAAAAATTAAAGATTATTTGAAAAGAAAGAACAATCCAAATAGATGTGCTCACACTTCTGATTATTTATTGGATCCCAATATAAGAGAAGTATTTTACTATAGTGAGTTTGAGGAAGCATGTATTATAATACATGATTACATTTTACATGGTGATGAAAATCAAAATATGTGATATTATAAATTTCAGAATTAAAAGCGGCGATATATTTAATAGCCAAAATATCTGAAAAGTAGTAATTTTCATAAGAAACAATCAGATATCGGCCTTGTGTCCACCTTGAAAATTAAGAGAAGTGTCTAATATCTTACAAACGATTTCTAGTTATATTTCTTTTTCAGAAAGAAATTGGTGGGTTTGGAGTAATATTTATTCGAAGAAAAGAAATTGATTGAAGATCTCGACAACCAAAAAATTGGTAGGAGTATATCATAACCTAAGATTGATTAAATATTAAGGAAGGATAATTCATTTTTTACTATCATATATAGAATAAAGTTAATATTATCTTAAAAAACATTTACGGTCAAATATCGGTCAATCAAATATTAGTCACTTGACCGAATCATATTTGACCGGTCAAATGCACAACCCTGGAAAATCATTATATTTTCAAAAGTAAAGTATTAAGATATCATACACTAAAGAATTCTCTTACAAATAACTTTAAAGTTATAAAGGAATATTTTTACTAAAATATTTGTGGTATCTATATCATCAACATCAGAAGATATACTGTTTATATAAGCTATGTGCGAATGACATCCATTATTAAATATCTTTCATGTAAATGATTATTATAAGTGAATTTAATTATTTTACCCTAAAATAACAAGCAATTGGTCCTCTGAATCAATGCAATTGTTGCAGTTTGTCAGGAATTAGAGATCTTCAAATCATGGCCCGGGCGCGAAAGGGCCTAAAAAAATAATTGCAGTTCGGGCCGACCCTAATATTTTTTTTAAAATTTTTTTATTTTTAAATTCGAGATAGGCCGGGCGGACAAATAATTTTTATTTCGGGTAGCGCTTTTCGGGACAAATAAAAAAATTTCGTTCGGGATCAGACCGGGCCGAACAAATTTTTATAAAAAAAATCCTTACTGGGCTTGAAAATTAAGCCCGATACAGATCACTACTGGAATATTATCATCATAATCAAACCAAGAATATGTAAAAAGGTTCACCTTTTCATTCTTGTTTAGCTGAAAAATTGGAATGCTTTAGATCACCTTTTAGCATAACATACACGAATAAATTTCTTTAGATATACATTGAGATGTTTTGCCCTTCTTCTTCCACCTTGATAACAAATTGTTTTTTGTTCTAAACTAGCATTTACATATTTTATAAAATTAAAGATCTCGCCTCAATTCAAACAATAGATGCCTTACGCTTTTTTAATTAAAAAAGTACGGCAAAACGCAAACCCTCATATTGTGCGCACTATTATAATGATTTTTAAACGATGAAAAACACCTTTTATTGCATTGAAACGTTCCAAGCGCCATCTAGGGGTTACCAGGGTAAAGCGATTGACGGGGTAACAATGCTAACATGAATTACTTCTTAACCTTGAGCATAAATACCTTAAATATTGTTTGACGATGTATTTTTATATCTAATTTCTTGCCTATGTTCATCTTTTAAAAACTTTTCTCTCGTTTTTTACCCAAAAATTGTAAAAACCACCCTCTAATTTTTTTGCTTTTAGCAAAATATATTAAGGCTCATAATTTAAAAATTTGTATATATGTTCCTTAAAGCCTTAGTTATAAAAAAAATTCGGTAGTATATAACTTAACCTGAAATTACGCAATAACGATTTACACAATCGATATCCGTTAAAGTAAAGTAAAATATTCCGTCTGATTGTAAAAATCTAATTTTTAAATATTAGGTCTACACCATATAAAAAGATACTTTTGTGCAAAAAGGAACATTAATAAATAGTTCACATAGATATATAATTTGTTCTGTTTTGATGATGTTTCCAAACCTTATGGTAAAAATGCAGAATATCAATCGTTATACCCCGGTTTCCCCTATATGTTTTTTATACATTGTTCGCAATATTTTTCAAATAATTGCACAGCCGCGCTAATTATTGAATAAATTATTAGAAAAATGGCAAAAGAATAATAGAAAATAAAAATTTAAAAGATTATAATTCATAATATATTCGAAATAATTATTTTAAAATCAACATAAGATGACCAACATTTTTAAAAAAAAATTTAATTTTTATGTTTCTCCCATAATAGTCAATTATTAATATTAGTTTGTATATTCGAACTAATTTAGCTTTTAATAAAACTAATTATATAACATCAGTAAAAGATTTTAAAAAAGCTTTTTAATATCTTTAATCCCCATTATCTCATTTAATATAATTGCTAATCAGCTAAGATTTTTAATATAACTAGAACAAACGTGCTTACAAATTTTTATCGAAATTGAAATAGGTCGACCGAAAGGTGATTGATTTGACATGAAAACAATAAATAATTTATTAAACCATTGAAAATCGATAGAATTAAATTTTTGGTGAGGCACTGTGCTCTCGATTAAACGTAACAAAAAAACATTACAAAATAAATTAAAAGGGATCAAAGTCAATTCTGTCCGAAGCTATGGAGTGGAGAGTGGTAAAGAAACGGTTTCATGTCAATTCAGCGAAACTTATCGCGAAACTTTTGCAGCGAATTTCGTTTATTGCTGCATTTTATGGCGAAACTTTTATTGCGAATACTATTCCGAAGCAAATATCGCGAATTTTTTTTTATAGTGTAACCCTTATCGCGAAATTTTTAAAACGAATACATTACAGCGAAACTTTTATCACGAATCAATAAGCGCGAAAATTTTATAGCGAAGTCATTAAAATGAAAATCAACTTGCAAAGACAAAGCGAAAACTATTTCGCGAAATTCTTTTAGTGAATTTAATATCTCGAGTTTAATATTGTAATAATTACAAATAGTCACTATTTTACTTTGAAACATTTATTTTTATGATCATATTAGTTGAATAATATTTTTTTTAAAATAGGTACAAGATTGATTCAATGATAGAGTTTTTAATTTTCTTTTGGCCTTAATAATTTATATAATGATTAATGAACTATTTGGCTTGTAAAATTTATTAGTGGAATAAAATAATCTTGTTATTCTGCCCTATGCTTTTCCTTGAAGTCTTATTTTATAAGAATCGCACAAGGAACCTATTGGTAAAATTGATATCTGGGTTGCTCCAATATTTATTGTCTGAAAAACTAAATATTTATAAATTCGTCAATCAGTTTTGCCAGTCACAAATCTAAAACAGAATTAATTAATTGTCTTTATCTAATTTTGAATGGCGATTCAAAAATAAATTGCATCTAAGTATAAGGGATTTCCCCAATTCAAAATATTTCAATCTCATGATTTTACGTTCTTTAAATAAAATATTAGCTCAAATTTGATAGTAATTTTAATCTAATATTAAGACGCAGTCTTAAGCATGAAGCTTGCCAAACTTTGGCAAACATTAATTTTGAAGCTTAAGCCAATATGTAGAATAGTGCTACAACGTATATTTTTATTTTCACATTACTTAGAAATAAAACTAATTAAAGTAACTTTTACTGAATCCCCAAAAGATGATTTTGCTAACAAAAATTTTAATTTTCTCAGAATTGAATTTCTTAGAAAATCACTCAAATTTTTTTTATTATTTCTTCTATTTTTAAGTGCATAAGCATGATTTCTTGAGTTTTAATAACTCGGAAAATTAATAAAAAAATTCTGAGAAAATTTTAAAAAATTACTTGGATCTTATGATTTTTAGAAATAATCTGAAATCAGGAAAAAATTTTAACTTTCAGCATTTTTTTATCTTGATTGGAAAAATTTATAAGAATATTTGTTAAAATGTGCTTTTAATAGCATAAAGCACATTTTTAAAATTTATAAGGGGGGGGGGGGGGATTTATTGGGGTAAAAACTTGAACTCTCTCCTCCGTACTTACAACCAAGAATGAGAGAAACCAGAAAGAAATTGGCTAATTTATTTTCTTTCACTTCAGATAAAGGTTACATGCCTACTTAATTAATAAAAGATCCATAAACATTTCTGGTTATGATTTAAAGAACTTTTGTGGGTAAATGAATATTGTATATGTTATTTTCCTTTAAATAAATCAAATTAGCAATATATTCACTGTTTTCAGTAATGCGCTCGCGATAATGACTTCGCGCATTCGCGGTAGAAAATTCGCTATAAAGGGTTCGCTATAAAAGTTTCTTTAAGATGTATTCGCGGGTAAAGTTTCGCGATAAAAGTTTAGCTGAATTTACCTAATACGATCAGAAACCACTAGTGATATAAATATTGACATCATAAAAGGGGAAAACTAATTTATTTTGAAATTAATTGTTTTAATATTTTTATCTTAAAAAATCTAATTGCTAAATTAATAACAAAAAAATAATAAATTTGATTTTATAAAAAGTGACCATAATATTGCGACCTAATTGAACTTTAGAAAAAATTGCAAACCAGTTTCTATTAACGTTTATAAATTGTTTTTCAATTAGCACGATACCATCTTGTTTTCTTTTACATTATGAAACGCAAATTCAATTAGTTTGCACTGTAATGACGTTATTAACAAATTTATATATATAAAAAATAGTGTTACCTGAAAATACTTATATGGAATGAGAGGTTAAAAGACGTGATAAAAATGAGTAAGATTTTCAATTGAGTATATATATTTGGGGTGTACCGATACCACTTTTTGAAAGCCAATCCGATATTACCAATATTAGATATGGGCCGAATACTGATCCGATATCATATCTGATTGTAAATATGCTAATCGTTTTAATACTTAATGAATACATCTACTAAATACTTTTAAATATAACATCTACATGCCATAAAATAAGTACGATCGATTAAATATTTTTAATGATAAATCACTTATTTATATAAAAAATCTATTTGTATAATAAGTAATAAACTAATATATTATCAAATTTGAAATAAATTTTTTAAAAATGAAGACACCCATTTTATCAGATAGGAAAATTTTATCATATCGGCTGATAGCCGATATTTTTTAAAAGATGAAGAATGCACTATCAGATCCGATGAAAAATATCGGTGCATCCCTAAAATATTTTTTATAAAAATTACCCAATTTTGTAAACATGTTACAAAAGATAAATGTTACTAGTAAAAGAAAATATACAACTTGTACGTAAAAACTTAAAAAAAGGATATATGGTTTAAAAAAAAGAAGTAATTACTAACTCAAACGATTTCACTAAATATAATATATAACTAACCTACTTATCAAACGTATCATCACTCTTAACATTTTTAGCGTCCAGAAATTTTGTTATGTTTTTCGCTTTTAACTTTTTAATTTATTACTAAATGTAAAAAGAATGTTTAAAAAAACCCATAAAAATCGTTTAGATTGAATTGACCCTTTGAAAATATTTGCAACTATCTTCCCATATCCATACTAATATCTATGCAACCCTAATAAAACGTTACATTAATTCTGTTAAAAATACAATGCTATATATCTATTAGAAATTTCTGGCTTAAATAGAATGCTTAAAAATCGTTTTCTCTCCGAAATATTATAAGAATCCGAACATAAGCCCAAAATTTTTTATGCCTCCACACCTCTCAAGCATAAATTCCAACGATCGGTTGGCGAGAATGATGCGGATGCCACCATGGAATCAAAAAATAAAATGTATTTTTTTATAAAAATTTGAGATATTATTTTATCTATTTTCAAAAGTATATGTGCTAAGAAAGAACGGAAAAAAAGAAAGGGACAAATGGCAAAACCTATATTATCATAGATTAGCTGCACATATTAAAATCTTGAATTTTGTTGTATAAAATAAGAACTTGCTTTTCCCAAGAAACACAGCTAGAGGACGAGAACGTATGGATTCTCGCGAAAGTGGGCAAATTTTGGCCTTCTATTCCTAGGTTTACTAACGAAGAATATAGTCAAACCAAAGATTCGAATCTTAAAATGACACCCTCCCTAAAAATCACGAAATCTGGACACTGTAAAATAAAGAAAAACAGCGCGGGAGCTTTATATGGCGGCATGTACGAGATAATTGATGTGGACGAGAGTAGAGAGTAATAAATTTCAATAAATATAAAAAGTATTTTACAAATTTATTTTAGGCGCTTCATAATTTATTTATAAGCATCTTAAACAGAAATTTAGTGCCAACCAAACTATTAAAACCTGAATGCACATTTAAAAATTTTCTAATTCAGAACTTACCAAATTCTTAAAAGGAACAAAGAACACTATGTATAAGGGGATTCCCTATTCTCGAACGAGACAATATCTATTTATATTATATTAACTTTTTATTTTAAAATATTTTATACATTCGTTTATTTTTTTTAAATTTATAGCGTATTTATAAAAAAAATTAAATAACTTTATAGGAGATATCTGGTTAATCCTTCAAACATTATACCCCTGCCATGTTTCAGGGCGGATCCTGTGAACCATCCTAAAGCGTTTTACGCTCCGGGAACGGTAAAATATTGTTCGATTTCACATGATTATTTTAACAAGTACTAGTTACATTCTTAAAGGGTAACGAGTTCAGATACATTATAAGTTACTTTATAAATTATTTATATAACGCATTATTTTTTTTATTTAATATAAAAAAATTTACGATAAAATGAATTACACTGAAACTAGAGAATAGAATATATATACATCGAAACAAAATATCACGATATTGCACAGATTATTTTTTATGAAAATTCTGGTTTAATAAATTTTCTAAAAGATCCGCTCATTTCTTTCCATAAATAAGCGTTCCATGACTGAACAAATTATACGGGAACACTTGATATAGGGACATTATATTTAATAAAAAGTTTAAATCTAGGAAATCATCGTATAAGATAATGTGTTTGTATAAAATTTTCTTGTTCATTATCAACATCAAAATTTTACACGGGATATGGTAGTTGACAATTTATACTCTTTTTAATTAGTACAGATTATGACCCAGATTTATTTTGTAACTTTCACAAACATTGGCATTTTGACATGGCAACGTTATGCTTTCTTATAATAATTCTCTAAAAAGATCTTATTGGCATCTTTGCCACTAAGTTTAATGTATGACCATAACATTTTCTGTGCCTGGGAAGGTAATCAGTCATGTAAATCAGAACTCAGAAGTAGTAGCTGTTGTGCAAACAAAATTAGGCGCTAATAATCTCTCATTTAAAATATCCTTCATTTAAATAATATATTTAGATATTCTTGAAGTTAAGATTTGTTTACATATCATTTTTATATTAGGTTGCAGAGTATTTATTAGCTCAATAAAAATATCACAGGAAGTTTTTAATTTGTTCTAATTTATTTGGTGTTGATGAATTCATGTTATCTATAGTTATCTTTATTTTGGATTGGTGATGATATATGTTCCCTATAAATTTATATATTTTATATAAGAATATATAATTATTTATATAAAGTTAGTTTAATTATTTTTATATAATATTAGGCAAAAAAAAATCTTGTTACATATACATCTAACAAAAATCTAGTAAAATTATTTAATACAAGTTATGTGAAAATAAATTAGAGATGTGCTTCCATAGATTGACTGTAGATGAGTTAGTTGCTGAAATATATCTTTTTTTGGAATATTTCTGTACTCAGCCTTCTCTTTGTGAAATCCAAAATATTTTTAGAAATTTAACCAATTTTTACATTTAAATCCGTTGTTTTGGTAATAGTTGTAGAAGGGTATGGTACAGTTTCTATTTCATCATTCTAATAATTTGATTGTTATCTTCATCAAATGATCAGTCAGAATTCATAATTATGTCTGATTAAATGGTTTGATCAAATATATATAAATAAAGGCACACATACAGAAACAGACATTTAAACAAAATGTTAAATTAAATCAATTTAATATAACATATTAAATATAATAATTATTTGAATATATTTATTAAGATATAAAATATTTTAAAAGTACTTGTTACTTTTGGCAGTTGGAAAAAAAAATATGACTAGTTCTTTTAACATCACTAATTAGAGATAAATGAAAGATTTTATATATAATAATGAAAGAAAATAAAAATGACAGAGAGAAAGGAAAGATATGGGTAACAATATGAAAAAAAATTATATTCTTAATTATTTATAGTTTATCGATGTATTTTTTTATATCCAGTCAGTCCTGGCCAGATATCCTCAAACTACTTGTTTTTACAAAGCGCTAATTCACGAAATACCCTCGCACGTGGATAAATGTTACATGGTCATATTTGATGATCCACTTTACCCAGACGGTTATTCTCCACCTTTGCCTATACACCAAAAATATATCATCCCATTCAAATTATCAACTTAATTTATTTTTAAAAATATTTTTTGTATGTTACTTCTTTACTTTTAATTTTTATATATAGAGAATAAATCTACTTTGATATTTTTTACAAGTTAGTGTTTTTAAAATCTTCGATATGTTTTTTTTGACTTAAGGGTATTATATTTTTTATCGAAGATTTTTAGATGTCATCTGATATAAATTATTGAAAGTTTTATCTAAAACAATATGTAATTTTTTTCATTAGTAAAAACAAATTTTATTTGTAATCTTAACAATTTATATAGTCATCTAACATTTTTTTGGTTGATTTTTAATGAAAATTTTTTAATTATAACATTATATCCCATTTTTAAAAAAATAATATGCATTCATATTTGGCATAAGTAAAAATAGATAAGGTCAGGTTATAATAAAATTTATAGTTAATGTTAAAAAATATAAAATATTTAGAATTATTTTTTAAAGTTTTTAACGCCTCAATTGTATTTATTATATTTATTTTTTAATCAAATTTTTATGCTTTTTTTTAAGAGAAAAGAAAACTTTTACAAATTTTAAAGCTTCTGACAAATTTATTTGTATTAACGATACATTCGTAATTTTAAATCAACTACGAGGGCGATTTTTAAATTTGAACATCTCATTTTACTCTAAATGTATTCTTGCATGTTATAAATTTCATACAATTTTTTTAAATATATTTTATAAAAAATATTAGCCATAAGGTGGTGTATGAGGGAATGAGATATATATTCTCCCGTATGCATATTGGTCCCTTATCAATTGATTTATAGAATATGAGGGCTTGGGGTAAATTTATAATACATTCCCTTCTTATATTTGTCCACTCATCACTAATAAGGATCAAATTTTTATCTAATCTTTGGATTACTATATTTTTAATCCTTAATATATTCACTGTTTTTATAATTTCTTTCATTACACATTATTGAGTTATGGAAAATGGGTAATTTTACATAAAGACGGCTGTTGCAAATTCAATATCTATTTTACTTTGCTTTTCAGGTGATACTATATATTTCATTAAATGTTTCGTTTTCATTTTATTATATCCAGGGAAATTACTTGATAAACCTAATATTTTCTATACTAAAAATTACTTATATAAATTTCATCTGTATTAATTATAAATATACTTTCTAGGCTAGGTAATTAATTTAGACGAGTATCATGTAAAATTATTACAAAAATTAAGAAATATAGGTTCAGCTAAAGGAAATTGCTGTTACCTAATTATCTATAATCATATGACATGTTAGATTTGTTATAAAAAAATGAATTAACCCTATCGAATCCATATCTCAAACCTTTATTTAACCATCAACCCTATCCTATATATCTAACCTATAGTCCTACTTATCCTTAATGTTTTAACTTTAAATTATTTCTATATTAAAATATTTCTTTCAGATGAATATTATTTGAGTTAAGAGCTATTATTATATTATCGAAAATGATTAAGAATGAACTAGGTATAATAACAAAACGCAATTATGATTTATCAACTACGAGGAAAAAAATTTTTAAATGAAATATGATTATTTAATAAAATAATACATACAAATAGGGATACCTAGAGGAAATTTCCCTTGTGTTACATCCCTAGTCATATTCCAATTTAACACTTATGTTGAGGGTTAATTATTATTTTGGGTATCGGTTAAAATAAAAGTATTGACCAATACGTGAGTATTTGTGCATCACTGCCTGCAATAATTTTAAATGTTTTGTTACAAAATTAATATTATTAAATATAAACTTAAAAATTTTAATTGCCAAATTAAATTTATCTAACTATTGCATGATAAAAATTTTAATATATTAATGCCTTGATTTATAAATAAATAATGGAAGAATAAATTGATAAAATTAGATATTTTTCCAGGAACGTTCCGTAACTGGCAATCATAATTTTTGATCGAAAGAGAAGCATAAAAATGGCAGTTTTGGGCCCCTATTCAAAATAAAACTAGTAATACTGATACGTGAGAATATCTTTATTTAATTTTAATAAAAATGACAAAATTAGGACAGTAAGGTTAAATATATTTCTCATATATAGCAATTGTATACCAAATGATAAAATAAATAGATTGATGTTAATATATTTAAATGTGGAAAGGCAAACATTTATTAGATGAAGCCTAAAATATAAATTGAAAAAAACTTGGACTTCATATTTAGTCTAACAATCTAATGATTATTATTAGTTTAAATTTTAAAAGCAATAATTAGAATGATAAGTGCTGTGCTTTATATTATATTCACAAAAATTCATGAAGGATTTTAGAAGTAATAACATTTAATAAATGTCGCTTGAATGCTATATAGCATTTTAAATAACATAAATGTAGTATTTGTATAATTTTTTGCAATTGAAACACAACCAGACAGTAAAATATAGCAAAAGTGATATTAATTAAATAAAAGATTTCAAAAGGAATGAAATATGAATAATATTATATTTAAATTATAAATGAAATATAAATATTTGACATTTTTGCTCTCAAACATAATTTTCAATACTTTTTCTGGCCTATCAATACTTTCAAATTAGGATTGTAAACACATCTAGGTGCAGTGGCATGGTAATTCTTAGATCCCATAACTCCGCTGGGTGAACTTACATTATTGTTACTTTGCTGATGATGTGTCTTACGTTGTATATTAGGATGCGGATTGTAATTGAAGCCGGTGTTAAGAGAACCGGTATATTGAACTTCTAAAGTATTTTGAGGTTCGCAGTGGAAAGAATTATTAAAATTTTCTAAATTCGAGGCAGTAGTCGTCTTGGTACTATTGAGGCCTATCAAGTTGGTTAGAATATCTAAAGGCTTAATTTCTGGCGAAGATTGCATAGCTTCCTCCGTGGATAATGGTATGCTCTTATTTACATTCTTCGGGATAATCATGGAAGCATTGAAATCAACAGATGCCATGGTAGGAATAGGAATGACAAATGGGTTAGGCTGTGAAAAGGATATGTTGCTTGATTGATAAGAATCATTGATAGAGTTGAAAGAATTAAAAGGGGGAGGGGGTGGTGGAGGCAAAAATAGGCTATAATTTTCCTTTTTAGGGGCAGAAGAACTTATATCAAAAGTAGAAGTGACTGTAGGAAATGCTATAAAAAAATAATATATAATACCATCGGATTTAAAAAGATATGCTTAAAATAAGTAAGTACTAATATACCTAAATTGATATTATCAATAACACTGCTATTCCTTAAATCAAAATCTCCATAATCTTCCTTGAATAAATTTTCAATATGAGTCGATTGGTCACGTGGTGCCGGACCTTTCTGTGCGATGTCTTCGTCATAGCCGATATCCATATCTTCACTATTGGAGATAGCTATCTTTTCGGGGTTTTGAATGGAGTGATTTAAGTCGCTCCAAACATTTTTCTTAGGTGTTTCATTTAGCGTTTCAAGTATGGACTGGAATAAATTCTTGGCAGTTTTAACTTTATACAAAGGAGAGAGAAAGGATTCGTCATTTTTGTCATACTTTATTTTTTAATTTAATTCAAGACTAACCCCAAAAATAAATCAATAATAGCATGTGATATTTAGTTAATGATTTAAAATTTAATTTGATAAATTCCAATCTTCACTAAATAAAATAACATTTTACCAATAAGATTTAAATGGGGAAAGGAATTCACGCTGTAAGCTTGTAGATTAGCTAGCTTATCTTTAGTCATTTACTATCAGGTCTAGCTAGGGAGAAGTAGAAATTTCCCACCCCTTCTGAAATTTGCCTATTCTGTTAAATATTATTTTAAGCTAATAAAAATTTTCTCTCTATCACCACCCCCCCCCTCCAAAAAATATTTATAATATATGATTACAAACAATAATTTGAAAGAAAATAGCAAAAGTTAATAATTTTTTAAAATAATAACTATAATTCAAAATTTTTATAAAAAATATTTTTTAAAAAAATTAAAAATCAAAGTAACATAGCCAACGGTCTGCAATAGCAATAATATTTATGGAAGAAAAACCAACCTACTAGTATCCATCCTTCTTAGCACAATTCGGGCTAGGCCTATGATTACTATCCTACCACATTTTCTTTAAAATAACCTCATACAAACATAAGTAATTAGTACAAAATAAAAGTATCAATACTGTGTTTGATTTTGTGTATTGGAAGTTTTTATAACCCATAATCATTTGTTGAATAAAATATATTTACAAAATAGTACACTTACTCTCTATGTCCTGGTTACTAGTGCTGGCCACATTCACACCAAATTTGGTGGGAGATGAATTCCCGAAAAGGAGTCTTAAATCGATATCGGTCCTGGTATTTTCACCTATTTCGTAACTTTTTGTATCTTTCGCTTCCTTGTCATCTATAGTTTTATCAAAACTGGAGCCTTTCATAGGTATATTAGAAGCTGTCATATCTTTGTTTGACGTTAACCTCAAATCCGTGTCAAGATTAATTTTGACATTATGATCTTGACCACTTTTTATATTTCCGCTGAATTTGTCGATATTTTCAGAGTTTGGTAAGTTATTTAAATTATCATTTATTCTCATATCCACATCGGGTTTAAGCGACGAAACTATGCGAGATATCGAGTTCAATATATTGATGGTCTCATTATTATTTGGTTCAACAGAATTATTGGTAATGGTTGTCGGAGTACTGATTTTATTTTTTTGATCATTTAATTTCGATTTGACAGTTTCAATACGTTTGGTATATCTTTTGTATGCCTAATAGTCAATATGATAAAATAATATTTATTTTATATCAGAGATGCCCCCCCCCTCTCCACTAATATCAGTTTATATATCGATACCTTATTATTGCTAATAAAAAATTATATGCGATAAAATTCATCAATATTTATTATATTAACATCTTTTTTTCTCGTCGAAGTTTTAAAAATTGTTGGTAAAATTTTATTTTAATTGGCTTAATGTGGGCTAATATTTGATAGTATTTGCCGACATTGACCCATGTTGCATTAGTCTGTTTTAAAGGTAAAACACTATGTAGTAAGGCTGTGCCGATATTAAATATCGGATCGGGCCAACCAATACCTGTAAAAACCCCGATCCGGTCCGATCTTTATAATTTTCTTTTTTAAATTTTATTTTATATTATGTATATTTATTTTACATTATTATAATATTTTCTAAATAATTTTTTTTAAACAATGAAATGCACAACACCCTCTAAATTTTATTTCTTTTTTAAAATAGATTTATAGTATTTTAAAAGTTTTTTTTATAAAAATAGAAAGAAACACCCAAAGTTTTATTTATTTTAAATCTTTTTAAATAATAACGCCAATTTTATTATATATGCTTTAAATAAAAGAATTTTTTTAAATATGGTATCTGAATTATGGAAATATTTTACAAAATACAAAGATAATTTTGCAAAATGAGTTATCTGCGGAATCATCTGAGTCTGCCTTCAGTATGGCAGGGGATATAGATAGTCCATATCGTAGAAGCTTATTGTCAGAAAATCTAGAGGCTCTCATATTTATTTTAAAAAATCTAATATATTATAATTTTATATATTAAATATTACAATTTTATAATTCATACCAACATAAAATGGACATATTATTAAATATATATTTTTTTAATTATAGTCTTAACTGTAGAAATAAATAAATTAAATGCATAATTAGATTTTTGCATAAAAAATAGATATCTTAATTACATTTGGTTCAAAGGGGGGTGATGAAAAATCAGTATAAATATCGATATCGGATCGGTTTTGAAGCAATATCGGAAAATATCGGATCGAATCGGTGAAAAATATGTGGATCGGCACAGCCCTGTAATTAAGGTTGCCCACTTTAAATTTTATGATGAAGGAATATATTTTTAAAACTAAGTTATAACTATTTATTTTATATACAAAGGGAAGGATATATTTTTTTTAAATTAAATTTCTGGAAACTTTAATCTAAGAATTATCTAGATTGGATAAAAAAAAAATTAAATTACAAATTTTGATATTTCATATGATCTGATTCTAGAAATATTTTTTAAAGTTCTTTAATTCAATTATCCATTGTTCTCTCCAAGGGTCACTAGACTTTTCCATATACTGAGGCTCAATGGGTACTCAAAATTCTTTAAAAATCAATATTTTTGCTTTTAAAATTGTATCTTTTAAATTTGTTTACAGAATTCTTCAAAATATTTAGGGACTCGAGGCCCCAATAGCATTCTCTTAGTGGCGCCACTAGCTTTTCCAAAAATATTTTATAGCAATTGAAAACTTACTATTTATTTCATTTGTTTAAATCATCAGCTGCAAATGCAATCGAGATGGATTATTAATTATACATAACTTTCAATGCAAATATAGGCAATGAGATGTTATAACATTTTGTCCCATATCCTATTTTATATGCCAGCAGTAAATTTGGCGATTTTGAAATCACAAGATCTGCTTAAAATATTTATTTTCACGTTTAGTATAATATATGAGAATCATTTAAACTTAAAATGTTTTTGGCAAACCAAATATAAAAGGTAAAATTATTTTTCTAAATATGGGACAAAAGGAAGGATTTAACTGAAGGAACAAATATTGGCAATATTACATTTTATATTCTATGATAAATACTCTTCAAAAAAATTCCTTTAAAATATTCACGGATCATCGTTAGGTAATAAAAAATACACTAATATGTATTAGATTAAAACATAAAATCATATTTTTTAATTTTATGAGTAGTATCTATAGCCAAAACTTTAAGTAATATTTATTTAGCAAGGTCATATTGTATATGCGAATCTTAAGAAAAATGCTATTAAAAAATTTATCAACTTACTGTGGTCACAAATCTAGCGTCATCATTAACGGTTTCATAATATTTGGAAGCCCTTTGTGTATTATTTATCAGAGTTTTTCTGTCCTTGTTGAATGAGTCCAAAAAAGTTATGAGACTCTCTAATTTTAGGCTGACATTTTCTAAGCTCGTGTCAAGTCTCTGGCCAGAAGCTTTATCTGTTATATATGTGTTTGTATATATAAAAGCTGTAAAAAGTTGGGAAGGCCAAATTTCATGAATTATTAAAAATTTTAAAGAATTTTCCTCTAGGAAAATTATGAGTATTATTGAATATGAGTGAGAATAAAGGCTCTTTACTATAAAATGTAATGGGTAATTCCATGACAAATCGACCAGCCATTCGGCCGACCATCTCAAAAATGAATGAAACTTGGCATGTTAGTTATTTATGTTGTATAAAAAAATCAAAATTTTAGAGTGCTAGCTCAACCAGATCCAAAGATATACGCCTTCAAAGTCTAAAATGGCGAAGTGCGTGATTTCATTAAATCTTGTTATTTTAAAAAATACTTAAGATAGAGTCACAAATTATATATCATTTTATAGCCCTTAAAATTTTACGTTGGAAAACATAAAAAAAAAATTATAAAATTTCAAGTGTTTTCTTATTTCCGGTAAAAATAAAAATTAACATTGTTAGGAAGGGATTTTTTGGGGGTGTTAATATTCACCAAAAATGTTTATTACCTTTATATTAAACGATTTAATAAAAAATCTCGATAGCCATTTTTGTTTTTTTAATTTTATTTGAATTTTTATTATTTTTATAAATATTAAAATGCAATATAGATGGCGTTATATTAATTTTTTTTTATAATATATAATTTTTAATAAAAATATGAATAGTATTGTGATTAAAATTAAAAAATCAATTGAGTATAACCAAGAATGATGTCCTGGGGCGATATGTAAGCAGGCAGCCCATACAGATATTATTTTATTGACGCTATATTGTAAAATAAACATATTTTAAAATTTTATATTCAAACTATTATAATTTCGCGCTTATTAATAGAAATTCCTAAGGCCATAATTTGTAGATATATCCTTTCATTGTTGTGAATCTACTATCGTTATTATTTGAAAATTTATCAGTTTATTTTATTTTTTTATTACTATCATCGCTACCAATCAATCATTATATATATTTCAAAACTTAAACATTTTTTACAACCAAATGAATTTATGATAAATTTTGATTTCTCTGAAAATTATGCATTTGTAAACCAAGACACTGTTCAATAATGTTATTGCAGTACATTTATACCAGACAAAAATGATAAAATTTTTGACTAATCGATTCAGCAAAAAGCCAAACAAAATATATTACTGTTCTGATGCATCAGCTGCGCAATATAAAAACAGAAAATTTTTTATAAATTTGTGTTATCATGAATCCGATTTTGGTGTAGCAGCTGAATGACATTTTTCAGCTACATCCCATGAAAAAGGTCCATGTGACTGCCTTGGCGGAATTAAAAAGATTAGCAGCACGTTCAAGCCTTCAGCGCATCAATTCTGGACACATTTTAACGCCAGTTGATTTATATCAATTTGCAAAACAAAACATGCCATCAGTAAATTTTACATATATAACCAACGAACAATACAATTTACAAGAGATTAAACTACGAGAAAGATTCAATTTAGTTTGTCCCATTTCAGGAACTCGGGAAATACATGCTGTATTTCCTTTGAGTTTAAGTAAACTTAAATCGAAAATATATTCATATGCAGAGGACTTTCAAATTAACAATATCTCAAATGCCGATAATTTGTCTTTTGCCGATATTAAAGGATTCGTAACATGTGTTTATGACAATTTTTGGTTGTTAACCACAGTACTAAAAAAGAATGAAATTACTGAAAAGATATATATTTCCATTTTACATCCCCATGGATTAACACCATCCTTCTTTTACCCCACAATTGCGGAAAATATATGGTTACCCATATAATCAAATAATAACAGTAATAGATCCTATTACAGTGACAGAACGTACCTACAAATTATCGTCTCAAATTCTATTAATAAGCACAAATTGGGATAAGATTAAAACAAGAGGCATTTATTTTTATATTGTTTGTGTATAAAATTTTAAAATATGTTTATTTTACAATATAGTCGTCCTAATAAAATCATATCTATATGGACTGTCTGCTTACATATCGCCCCAGGACATCATTCTTGGTTATACTCAATCGATTTTTTAATTTTAATCACAATGCTATTCATATTTTTATTAAAAATTATAAATTATAAAAAAATTTAATATAACGCCATCTATATTGGATTTTTTTATTTTTAAAAATAATAAAAATTCAAATAAAATTTAAAAAACAAAAATGGCTATCGAGATTTTTTATTAAATCGTTTAATATAAAGGTAATAAACATTTTTAGTGAATATTAACACCCAAAAAAAATCCCTTCCTAACAATGTTAATTTTTTATTTTTACCGGAAATAAGAAAACTTTTGAAATTTTTTAATTTTTTTTATATTTTCCAACGTAAAATTTTAAGGGCTATAAAATGATATATAATTTGTAACTCTATCTTAAATATTTTTTAAAATAACAAGATTTTATGAAATCACGCACTTATCTGGTTGAGCTAGCACTCTAAAATTTTGATTTTATTAACATTTACAACATAAATATCTAACATGCCAAGTTTTATTTATTTTTGAGATCGTCGGCCGAAAATCTCGTTTTTTTGGTCGATTTGACATGGAATCACCCAATTCCAAATTGACTATCCAAAGTCAAATAGTTTGCCGAAAAAGTGCTATGAAAGATTATTCTTAATATTCATATATAAAAGATATAATTATCTATATAACAATGCAAATTTTATTATTGAAATTTTGTGAAAAGTTTTTTTGTTTAGTTTTTAAAATTTATTAGATAATTTATTAAAAAAAATAAGATTTGTGTTTTTAGTAAATCACTGATTCAATGAAAACCATAATGATAAGAATGGACGAGTTTTTCCAATCTTAAACATAATATAACTAATATATAAGTGCTTCAATGCTATTATTTTGGCCTAATCCTAGTTAAGCCCTAATATATACACCAAAATTTTTTAACATTTTAAAGGGTCAGGCGAAATTGACATGGAATTACCCAAATTTTAATTGTATAAATATTTCCTTAAAAGTATTAACAGTGTGGCATATAAAGAAGTGTAGTTTAATTTTAACCCCCTTCCCCATAAGAAATATTACCAGGGTTTAACAAAAATCTTCAAATGAGCATTTGAAGATTTTTTTCCCAAAATTTTGTGCAAAAAATCTTTGAAGATCAAAAAAATTGGTAAAAAAAATCTTAACATTTTTGATCTTCAAAAGAGTAAGGATCTTTGAATTTTGAGCAAATGTTAAACCCTAAATATTAGAATAAAAAATTAAGCTGAATATAAAGATTCTTAGTAATTTTCCAGAGATTTATACCTTTGTACTGTTTGACCCATTCTTTGTTGTTTAAGTCGAAATTGGAAAGACACTTTTCTACGTCGACTTCCTTATTTTTCAAATCTTTCGATAACTTGTCTACCTTGTTGATTTTTAAAAACAATTCCTTGGGCTAATTTTTTTACAAAAAATTAAAAATTATGAAACATAGATAACATTCATAAGAGTGTGAGTGATTCTTTCTATTTTGAAGAAACAAGTAATTTCTTAGTTGATGATATCAAGGGAATGTTTTTGTTTATTGAATTACAAAAAATAATAATTTTGAAGTTAAAACGAGTAAAATTATTTAAATGAACCTATAATTATGACCATTTAATTGAATAAAATTCCTTTGAATTATATTTAAAATTATAATAATTAAGAAAAAAATACCTTAAAATTATCTATTTTGTCTGAGAGAGCTGGGGAGGTTGTTAATTGAATGGATTGTTGTTTGGGTGGAGATTGGGGAGATTTGGTGAACACTACTTTCGGGGAAATTTCTTGGGTCGAATCTAGATGAAATATCCATAAAAATTTAAAATTCCCAAAATTTATAAAAATATCATTAAAACGTCTGTTTAAATGGTAAATTTAATTTTTCATATATCGTCGTCAGCTATTAAAGAACATTTTTTTCAAAATTTTGACATAACCTAAAATAATTTAAGGACTCTCTAGAATCCATGCATAACCGAAAAGGATGGACAATCCCCTCCCCCCTCGAGGGAAAAATATGATTTCCCATTAAATTTTTTTTTAATCATCAGTGTTTTCTCATGTACGAAAAATTTGAGTAATTTTTTTTATTTATTTTCTGAAATGTTTGTAAAATTAATGTATATACTTTAAAAAATATTAGATTGGTAATAAAAATTTTAGTTTTTTAGATAAAAAACATCAATATATATAGTATTATGCAAATAATTTAAAATAAATCACTTTGGTAGTATTCTGTACCTAATCTTCAATAATTGATTATAAAATTTTCATCATAAATTCGTTCTTTTTAAATTTATTTTTAAATTGCAACGATTTGCTGTGTACAAAAAAGTGTTTTAGAGGTACTGACATTTTATCTTGAAAAGTTTATACAAAATCAAATGACGGTTTATCAAGGTAACCTAGTTCTATCCACAGGAACCTATTGTTTGTATTTTATGTAATCCATGTCATTAATGTTGAACTCATTTTTTATATTTTCATACCTAGGACCCGATTAAAAAATTAAATGACTAAGGGCTAATCATATCAAATATAGATCTTTAATAGAAGAGATGAGTTAAATTTTTAGAGTAATCTTTATTTTCATGTTTTTTCCTAAAATAGGAAAGACGTCATGTTTACACTTTGAAACCGAATAAAGGTATTTAAAATAAATTCATTGCACTATTCCTCACAATATGCGTCACAATTATACAAAATGCTATTTGATTTGAAAGATGTCTAAAATAAGTTACCGATTTCAATTGAAATGACTCAAAAATCTATAAAATATACAATTATTAGACCTGTGCGCCTTTACGCCGGAACAACCGCCGATTGAGATCATCAGCGGCCAATTTTTTTATGGCGGCAACGTGGCGTGTATAATTTTTAGAATGCTGTTTATTTATATTTATATATTAAATTATTATTATTATTTAAATTTTAATATCAACATTAATAAAATTAAAACATGATTTGTATTCTACTATATATAATAGAATATTACATTCATTCCTACATCATATTTCATTCCAAATACATATGAATTATTTTTATGGACTTGCACGTTTTAAACCACCCTATCAATTATGAAATAACAACTCTCTCTACTATTTATAAATCAAGTTATGTCTGGAGGTACTTTGGAAATTTTATTTTGAAGAATGGAAATAAGAAAAGCACAATAATGTCTTATTATATTTACTAATAACCTTGCTTAAAATTAAGGGGAAAAGATGAGGAAGATTCGTATGAAATAAAATGTTTGGTAAAAATATAAGTACAAGTAACCTTTCTCGGCACAGTTAATTTTCATAAAATATCAGAGTAAACATTTCTAAAAAAATCGAACGCGTTCACGTCCAGGTTCATGTTCAAAAAAAAGGAACGCGTTCACGTTCATAAAACAGTTCAAAATTTTATGATAAATTTTTTTTAAATTAAATTTAATATAAATAAACTTATATTTTTTAATAGAATATATTTTAGCCATGTTAAAAAATAATATAGTTTTATTTTGATAATATAATTATAAATAAAATAAAATATAATATAATATAGCGAATAAAAAGATATTTTTATTTATAAAAAAATTTTCTTATTAAATTTTAATAAATATTGTTTTCAAAATATTTATCTGATAGACAGGAACACTTGGCAGTTAATATGGCATTAGCCTAAAAACGCGCTCTACAGGGGCAGATGAGGGGATTGCGGTATTATACTTAATAAACAGCTCTTAACGTGGATAATTTATTAAAAAAATATGTTTTGTTATTTGCAAAAAATTGAGATAAGTTATCCTCCTCCAATCCATTCTCTATTATCGACAAAAAAAAAGGATATCTCGAAATTAACAGTTCTCTAGGATTTTCAAAGCATTTTTTTCAATAACGCTATAAGTTTATTTTTAATAGGTTCGTTCTGTGAAAGTTTTATCTATGGCCATTGAAGTTTGAAGGCTGGATGTATAATTGCAGAAAGAACATATTGATCCTTATATATATGTTCAAATCTTTAAAAAAAATATATATGTAATTAATTGAGAGTGATAGGTTTAATACCTTTTATTAATCCCATTTAATACGGCGTCTATCAATGGTTGACCATATTTGAGGCCACTAATTTTTTTTAATTTTAAAATAACTATAGTTATTGTTGGGGTCAAATATCCCAAATGCATTATTTCTTCAAATTTAATGATTTAACTTAGTTATATCATATAAAATCAAATAATTAATATTAAAATCAAATGTCGTATTAAATTGGAACCTGAAGATTTTGACAATATAATACTTTTTGGTAAGCATTGGATTAGTTCCAATATAGGATGTTAATGTAAAACATTTATCATATTTGGCCATAGTAATGATGATTCATCTGATTTTGGATTTTCAGAATCAGATGATGAGGATTAAATAATTATATCCATGCTTATGCTAATCTATTAAATTAAAATATAAACAATAATATTCAAATTAATAAACTATGTGTTAAAAAAATTGAAATGTGAAAAGAAAATACATAGCCGATTAAAAAATATAAATAATACATTTTTTAAAAAAATTCGGAAATATTAAATTTTTCAAATAAATAAAAAAAAAATATTTTTAAAATTGAACGAACGTTAAATTCGAACGCATTCGTCATAAAAAAGGAACGCGTTCACGTTCAAAGTTCGTCAAAAATAAAAGGAACGCCGTTCATCATTTTTTTCAAAAAAAATGAACTTCGTTCACGAACGCGATCGTTTACAACACTAATTCAAAGTCTGAAAATGTTCCAATACCATGTGGCAATAATTTTTAGGTTTGTAAAATTAATTTTATTAAGCTTTATTTTGAAAGTTTAAAACAACTAAATTTTTAGTTTGTTTATTTTCAGCTTATTTGAGATCGTTTGTATAAAACTTAAATATATAATTTATTAAATTAATTGTGTAAAACATTATTTTGAAAGTTCAAAACTAAATCAAATTTTTATTAGTTTCATTCCAGCTCTAATTATTTTGATGTTTTTTTAAAATAAATATGAAATCTAATAGGGCGAAATTATGTTTTGATGTGCTGGTTATATTTAATACCATTTGATTCTATAAACAATAAAAAGATGACTGATTTTCTAAAGGTTTCAAATTTAAATAAAATGATTATTAAAAAATAAATTGCCGAAAAATAGAAATATAAAATAATTGATTCCTCGTCAGAATTGCCTAATAGGACAACCATTAGTCGGGGTGTACTAGATGATGTCCATTAATATATAAAGGCGCCCGATCATTTCAAGCGTCGAAATTGTATCACATTTAGTCTTCATCATTTAGATTATAATTTTGATTTAAAATATTTTACCCTGGCAACTAGAAATGTGACACAAAAACATACTGGGGAAACCATATTATCTGAATTGATAGTATTGAAGAGGAGTTCCATTTAACAAAATAATACATGCTTGCATTCCAAAATTATATTTTAATTTGTTATAATAAAAATCAATAGAATATTACTAATATATGTTGTTTATGTAACTCTGATCTGTGTAAAAATGCAATTCCTTAGTCTATTTCTGAGAATGAGAAAATACATAAATTTAAATTAGAGTGAGACAGGAAATAATTTAAGAAATGAATTAAACTATATTAAAAATGTGAAAGAAATCCATATAAATTATATAAAACGTAATACATTGATTTATAGATTAAATTAATATAAAAAAAAATTTTTTAAATATCGCGCCGTGAACGCCGATGAAAAAAAATAAAAAATACCGCTGCCGTCGATTGAGACATCGGCGCATAGGTCTAACCATTATATTAAATAAAATTATTCATAGCACAAATTATAATCATTTAATATCAAAAAAGTTTAATTATTGGTATGCTAATAAATTATCACATTACTATAGAAATTATTCAAATGATTCGTGAAAAATATTAAGTCGATTTCCTTAAATTTAAAAAAGTGTGAGTCAAATGAAGAGAGTGCAATAAATTTTAAAAATAACTTGTAGATTTACTTATCGCTTCTATCAAATCATCGATAAAAATTTTATCATAGAATTTTCTTTCCTTCAGGATGCTAAGTATGCGTTTAATGGGAGGCTTTATAGATTCGTCCCTTATTTTATATTTAAAAAATATAAAACTGATAAGCAAATTGTAAAAATAGAAAGGACGTAGATGTACTGAATCTAATTTTTCAACCGTACCTGATGGATCTAAATTTAGATTCGGTCGGACCTGGTGGTAATAAAAAAATTATATTTATTGACTCTCGTATAAGTAGAATGTAAAATACCATCATTTCATATCCATGTCATCAAATACCTCTCACAGCTGATCCCTTTAAATTTTGATAAAAATTTGTAGGCACGTTATATAAGTTATAGTTATATCATAAACGGAATTTTTAATTCAATAGCATAATTATGGTGGACTAAGGCCAGATGGTTTATTTTGTACTTGGTCTTTAGGTGAATCCTCAATTTAGAACTTCACATGTTCATTTCAAAAACCCAACGACTAATTATTTTTTAAAATAAAAATATTCAAATCACCATTTTTTGAGGGAACTTGCAGTCCCAACTCCGTTTTTTTTATATTATAGTTTACATGGAATATGGTTATATATATTATAAATTAATAAAATATATATTACCTATGATAATGGGAATTAAGAATAAAAAAATCTTTTTTTACCGTTCCCGATGTTAAAATTTATTTTAATTAAAAGCCAAATTAGTTCGGAATTGCATCTAACAACTCAATAATTTGGAGGAAAACACCAATAAATTTTTTCACCCTATTATTCGTTTATTATTGTATAAAAAACGTATAGCGCTATATACAGGCGTACGCAACGTGGTGGGGAGCAAATCACTCCAAAGCCAAAGATTAAGATGCCGGTTAAAATATTTTTCAAAAATATTGCTGTTGGGCAATCCAAATCGATAACTTTTCGGCCTGACCTTTTTAATTTTGATAAAATTTTGTATGCTGGTAGAATATCATTAGAAAGCATCGAATCCAAAATTTTAGCCTCCTAGTAATCATAGTTCCTGAGATATCAATGGTCAAAAGTGCCAAAAATGACCTTTTTCGAAAAATAGGATTTTTTAAAATGGAGACAAGTTAAAAAATAATGATTTCAAAAATATAGGCTATATGTCATTTTGTAAAAAAAGCCAATTTGCAATAGTTTGTTCCCAAAGTAGTTTGTTCCCAAAATAATTATGAAAATCCAAGAGATTAAAGCTAAATCGCAACAATTATCAATAAGAAAATTGTAAAGTATATATTATTTAATTTGCATATAATAATTAATTTTTTTAGAAAAATAGGCAAAACAAAGAGTGCATATAAACAAAGCTATTATTCAAATTCTAATAATCAAATGGTTCAATATAGTTTGATTAAATCAAAATACAACAATAATATTATCTATTCTAACAAAATTTTAATTCAATTTATACATTATCATGCAAAAAAAAAGAGATTGCATTTTTATATATTAATTAAAATTTTTATTATGAGATATTTCATATAAATTTTAATAATGTTATATCAAAGATATATTTATAATAAAGAGTTTGCTAAAATATTGTAAATTATATGCTATTTATATCATTTTTAAACAAAGCTATTATTCAAATTCTAATAATCAAATGGTTCAATATAGTTTGATCAAATCAAAATACAACAATAATATTATCTATTCTAGCAAAAATTTAATTCAATTTATACATTATCATGCAAAAAAAAGAGATTGCATTTTTATATATTAACTAAAAATTTTATTATGAGATATTTCATATAAATTTTAATAATGTTATATCAAAGATATATTTATAATAAAGAGTTTGCTAAAATATTGTAAATTATCTGCTATTTATATCATTTTTAAACAAAGCTATTATACAAATTCTAATAATCATGGTTCAATATAGTTTGATCAAATCAAAATACAACAATAATATTATCTATTCTAACAAAAATTTAATTCAATTTATACATTATCATGCAAAAAAAAGAGATTGCATTTTTATATATTAATTAAAAATTTTATTATGAGATATTTCATATAAATTTTAATGATGTTATATCAAAGATATATTTATAATACAATTGTGCTGTCTATTATATATTAATGGATCTAGAGCATTAAGAGTTTGCTAAAATATTGTAAATTATCTGCTATTTATTTTTACTGTTCTTGTATTAATATAAATATTAATTACCATTTAGCCATTTAAATTTAATTTAAAATAAAAAGCATTTTTTAATTTATTTGCCAAATCTGTTACAACGTTTCAAAATTATACAATTTTATAATCGCTTCAAATATATTTGTGGCCATTTTAGGTCATTTGACGTTTTTTCACAAATGTTCATACGATCTAGTGGACCCTAACCAAAATATTATATAGATCGTTTGATAGGCGTACTTATTATTATTATATTGATAACTTGTAAAAATTAGTTGTTTTTATAATAAATTATTAAATTTCCTAAAAAGATAGTTAAGATAAGATTCCGATATCTCCTACAAGAAAATATATTAAATTGTTGAAAGATAAAAGCAAGTTATCATGTTAATTTTTATTTTACAAATATTTTGATATTAATTATTTTTCTTTTTAAATTATTTATAATATATAAATATAAATGTGTTAAATCCTTTGAAAGGATCTAAACACTTTAATTATAAAAAGGACCCGTGTAAAGTCATGACGTAGATGACACAATATCCAAACATTGAGGCGGAACACTATATTTGTGATAAATGTCGTAAACGGTTATCACAAAAAATATTGAAAATATAACTATTCTGATAGTTAATATGTAAATAATCAACACAGCATCAACATCAATATATGCAATCAATATAACTTTAAACGAAATTGGAATATCTCCTATTAAGAAAAAATAATTAACCGAAAAAAACTATCCAAAAAAAAGGATAGCGAAAATATAAAAAGCTTATTTCAGATATAATAATTAACAATCCAGAATAGGGTACAAAAGATAATAATTACAATATCCTAATTTATCTAAAAATAAAAAAATATCAATTGCTGACAATTCTGCCTCCTAATTGGAGAGCAAATAAAATAAAAACGACATTTAACGCTATATAATCATATGGCATATAATTCCAAAATAATTTTAAAAGAAATGGGGATTTTTTCAACTCCAAATCGAAAGCCTGCAAAAATATCTCAATCAAAATACAGTTGATATTGCTAAAAAGAATTTTGCAGTTATGAAGTTAGTAGGGTATTACCAGGAAAATTGCATAATCTAGCATTGAAAAGGGGGAACGAGTGAACGCTCAAAAAAGGTTAGTTCTTAATAATTTGAAAGAATTATATAATCATTTCAAGGCGAGTAATAACTAAGCTCAAACATATTCTAATTCGCAGACATTTATTGTGGAGATAGTATATCCACGTGAGCAGTGGCGTAGACAAGGGGGAGGGGGGAACCCCCCCCCATTTTTTAAAAATGTTTTTTTTTTAATTTTTTTTTTTTTATAAAATAAAAAATTATTATTTTTTTATTGCGAATAATTATATTTAAAAAACGGTTTCAATTTAGAGAAATAAGATAATATATTATATATAATACTATATGAATATGAATATCACAATGAAATATATTTATAAAAAAAGGAGTTTTAATTTTAAATGATCACATCGTTTAAAAATATATATAAATTATATGAACTAAAATATTAAACAACAATAAGAATAAAGATATATTGTATTTGTAAATAATTTCTGGCATAGTTAAATTAGAATATTAAATAACAATAAAGATATTTTGTAAATATTTTCTGGCTTGGCATAGTTAAATTAGATATTTATAAATTTAATTATTAAATATATATTTTTAAATTTAAACTATTTAGATAGTTTGTTTTGTTTGTAAATTTTAAGTTTTTATAATTTTTAAATATGGATATCCGTAAATTTTTTTGTCAACAACAAAAAGAAAAAGGTATATATTAATTTATTTATAAAATTTAAGTTATGTAATTTGAATTAGAAATATATATGGATGTTGCTAGTGAAAATCAGCCATCAGTTGAGTTCGAAGGTAATGGTATTATCAATATGTTTTATTTAAATCTTGCAATTAGAAATACCAGACATACCATTACCACTCCATCTCCATCCAATGATGAGTTAGCTACAAAATCATCAAATGATGGTATATATTCTAAATTATTTATAATTTCTAATATTTTTTAATTAAAAATAGAAACATTATGTGTTACAAAAGCATGTGAGCTATCAGTTGATTTGGCTGGAAAATCATCAAATGATGGTATAGTATTTATTTTAATTCCATTTTTTTTATTTGTAAATTATACTATTTTCATTTTGAGTTATTAAAATTTTGCAATGTACGATATTTAGTTATAATTTTAAAGTTAGTCATTTTTTTGTGTTATTTTGCAAAAGGTAGTACATTATAAGTCAAACAGAGTTGAGCAGTATTGAAAACTTGTATCTACAATACAAACAGAGTTGGGCAGGCCCTCCAGAAAAATAATCTAGATACAGATTTGTTGTGAAAAAATGAATCTTAGATACAGATGATTTATCATTACCAATTAAACTAGAATAGTTTATAATATACAGTTTTTATTATTTATTTGTGAAGAACATAATTATTTTCTTAAAATCTTTTGTATACACAATCTTGGGCAGCTTATAATATTTAGGAACTTATTTTCATAATTTAAATATTACTACCTTCTTCACTTCCATGAGTGTAAATCATCCTACAAATATAAAAATATTAATTAAAATTGATAATGATATTCTATAGTAATTTCCTTCTACTTGTATCTGTCTTTAAATTTTTATTAAGAAACTTTGATATCTATCTGAGATACATTTTTTATAATCCAGATTTTTTTCTTGTGCTGCTCAGCTCTTAACATTGAAATTCATATTGAAATATATCATTTAAAATCTAAAAAAAAATATAGAAACACCACACCGTTCTCAAAAAGATGTTTCACTTTACTTAAATTTTCATTTTAAAAATGATAATGAAAAATTGTTAGCTGTTGAAAATATTTGGATACCTGACAAATGTTATAAATTT